GGCTTTCCTCAGTGACTTTGCGATTTCAAGCTAGAGTCGCATTTAAGCAGCCAGAATGGTGCAAGGAGCCCGTATAATTACTGCTGGGATTGTGCTGCATAGGGCCCGTGTAACAAACTCGCCTCAAATAACCCAGCTTGAATGTCAGAGTCCGTGCTGTATTGTGTTTCACATTCTGGCTGTGGGAGCACTTCCCCAGCAGGAATCAGGGTAACAAATCCCTTACTCTCACAGGAGGGCCCCATAAAATGAATGATTCTGGATCTCACGCTCTTGAGGAGGTCTCAGTTACTCCAGCAGTTGCTGCTCATAAGGGGAGCGACCATAGGGGACAGAGGGAGGGAAGGGTGGTTTGGCAAGCTTTGGTGTATCATCACCCCAGTGTTAGAGTGGGAAGGAGCATCAGGGCTCTCCTCTCCCCTCCAATCTATACTTTTGCATAGATGTTAAATTAAAAAGAAGTCAAAAAACAGAGAGTAGATAAACCCTGAGGCTGAGATTGAATCAAATGTATCTGCTTGAAATCCGGCATGCCTGCTGGTGGCAAGAGGCTCCTATTTCCTCTCAGTTTAGACTTCCCTGTGAGCAGCACCCATGTCAGTATATTTATGGGGTAGCATAAAATGAGGCGTTTGCTCTCTGTGCACCAGGGCCAAAACCCTCCGGTCCCTCCTAGAGTAGCTTATGGCATCCCCTCCGCCAAGTCCTGTGGCTCAGCAGCCAACACAGCTGCCTCTCCATCCATGTCCGAAACCTGAACTCCCCCACTTCTCCTTGGGAGACAGAGATTGTTCCCTGAACTATCTCCAGTCTCTTGTTATCTTGCTTTCCTTGTCAGCCAGTGAACTGTGAAGCGACAGCGGAGAGAAAAATGAACTCTAACCTCATTTTCCCCCCCTACAATTAGCCAGAACTGTGCCTTTTATTTTTTTTCCTCCCCACTTTTTAAATGATTAATAAGACAACTTGGTCCTTAGCTTCTGCAGTGAGGCGAGTGTGCTGACAAAGCACTGCGATGTCTCTTCCAGGTCACCCGGCAGCAAGCCACGTCTTTATGAAAACATAAAATTTGGAGGGACTATTTGAGGAATTTGTAGACTGAGACACAGGAATTTTGCCCTTCAGACCCTGGCAACTGCATTCTGCAGTGGTCTCTGAGGCCCAGCGACTGCCATGGAAAGGAGTAGCTGCTTAACAGCAACCTGCAAGCTCTGAAAAACAGATTTTTTTCCCCCTTCTTTTATTATGTTGCTTTGAAATATTCAGCCATTGCCCTTTGCCTGTTTCATGCGGTGACAGCCTCAGGGCATGCTGCAAGCTGGATCCAGTGGCAAAACACAGATCTGTAAACACCCTCAATGGCAACACACAAGGGGATCCTCACTCCTGCTCGCCCTTCACTTGAGCATTGCTCTTTCATGTGTGCTCATCTGTCTCCTGGGTTTCCAAAGCTCCTACTGCAGTGGGGAGTAGGGAATTTAGGCCAGGTGGAGTCTATTCGCTTAAATCGTCCGTGTCTTTGTTATGCCACCTGTTGCATTTGGAGACAGAAAAAGCCCCTGTGCACTCCCAGGCATTGACAAGGCTGGAAGAACTCGCACCACAGGGATGCTCCTGCAGGGTGGGCAGGCAGGGAAAAGGACCTTCACCAGCACAGGCATAAAAGGGCAAAGCACTGGAGAACAGTACTGGGGTGAACAATTCTGGATTGGCTTCTGGCTGATGGATTAACATCTCGTTTGGCTTACAGAAGGTAGTGCCTGCACTTCAGTCCTGTTAATTGGAGAGCATCACTTAAGGAGCTGCTTTTCACAGTACTCCCAGTAGACTCCTCTGTATCACTGGGGCTTGAGAAAGCCAATGACAGGCCAATCCATGCAATACTTTTAAGACATTTTAAAAGCAAACAAGTGTACCAGTGGAGTTGATCAAGCTGCAGGCTGCTGCCGAAAGGGTAGCAGGGTTAGAGCTTTTTTCAAAGCAGCCTTGGCACATTAGAGAAACAACTTGCTCCTAGCTACAGCTGTGGAGTGGCCTGTAGTGTAAACGATGTGATTCTTGCCATCTCATGGTATCCTTGTGTTCCAGTTGTGGGGTAGTTAGCCAGAAGAGGAGGGCATGCTGCTGGCTGAGGGACAGCAGTGGCACTGCCGGGGGGACTGTGAGAAGAGTAGAAGCCAGTGACTGAGCATGGAGTCTCCTCCAGAGCCATGAATGCAATGTCAAATCCTTCATTACACCTCTTGATACCATCCATATGGTTAAATGGATTTCAAAGCTGCAGCACTTGCCTGAAAGAAGCATATTCTGAAATCAAGGCTCTCGTGGTTTCACCCAAAGACAATCTGCCCCATAGGCTTTTGGTGGCCTTGGTTTCATCTGTTCCATCCCTGACAAGGTCTGCATTAGCCCCTGCAGCCTCTCTTAACCTTTCTGCCCTTGACTCTGACCAGCTTCAAAGTGGAGCATTTCCCTGCTCTTTCCAGGAGGCCTCCCCGGCTCTTTCAATCTTTCTCGGAAGAGCTGTTATCTGTCCAGATGTTTGCGAGGGGGAGGACTCCAAGAGGAGCCTTCTTCATTACCTCCAACAAACATCCCCTATTTCTGGCAGATCCTTCCCACTCCTCCCACTGTGCAGCTGGGACAGGGAGAAGATGTCAAAATTTATGGGGCTGGTAGATATCGCCTTCGGTGTGGCCATGGAAAAGGAACAAAACAACAGTTGTTGCCCCTGGACAAGCTCTCTGATCTGCCAGAGATGTCCTGCTAGTTCATGTATGACATTTAATAATTAAAAACTCCCATACAATTGTTTAGCAAATGCTAGTTTTTAGTCGTCATTATGAACTTTTTTACCTCCCAGGAGCAAGTCCAGTTGGGCTCCCATCATGCTACGCAATCTTCAAGCAGTCAGGGAGGCTGAATTCCTTTCTCTAGGAGTTGACAGTCCAAATAAACAAGGCAGACAAAGGAGAGGAGGGGAAACAGAAGCTCAGAGGAGGTGAAGTGAGTTGTCCGAGGTCACACAGCAGGTCAGTGCCAAAGCTGGGAGCAGAACCCATACTGCCAGCTCTTGCTCTCATGTCCTATCTCCCAGGGGAAGACTGGGCCAAAATAATTTATGAGGCAAAGAACTTCTATCACATTCCTCCCGGCACCATGAAGTTCTTCAGCTTGTGCAAATAAAGCACAGCCAGATAAAGAAGCAACTGGGCACCAGTTATATTTTGGTTTGCTAGGTCTCTGTTTCTTCATATGTTTCTTCATGTTATAAAAATTCTTTACCAGCTAAAGTGATCATCTGAATAGAAGTATCAGAGTCAAGGAAGAACATTGCTTTGGAGTGTTGATCTGCAGATCTGGATAGTGAAAATCAAGGTTGGATGGTACCTGTGGGAAGAAAGATGCTGACTTCCAGCCTGTAATCCAGCGTGGCTTGGAGATGAGATCCTCTCCTGCCGCACAGTGGCACTGACACTGTGGTGGAAGTGCCAACAAACAATCTGGGCAGCTGCAGGGAGAGAGAAGGGAGAAAGAGCAGTGAGCTGAGATGAGGTAAGGAAACAGCCATGCTCCATCATGATTTTTCTATGAAGGAAGATAAAGAAGCTGATGAGGCTCCAATGAGGCATCTTCTGTGAGTGCAACCATGCAATGGACCATCTTGATCTGGTTTCAGAGCATGATGGAGGTGATGTGGCTGCTGCTTGTGGAGAGATGGTAATCTTGAGACTCACCGTATCTCCCCTGAGAAGTAGGAAAAACCAGCAAGGAAGCTAAGCAGCACCCTTAAGGACTCACCTCTTTTTTGTCTGAGACAGAGCTGTGGAATCTGGTGCTCTCTCAATCCCACTGGAGGCATCACTGCTTTCAGGTTCCATAATTGATCTTTCATCTCTTTCTCAGGAAACAGAGGGTCCTGCTGTATATAGAGTCCATCCAGGTGCATGTACTTCACCATCAAAATGGTATCTGCCAGCTCTCTCTTTACTCCTTTAGGTGACAACTCTGGCTGGTTTGTTCTTATGCTCTTATGGTAGGGACGGAGGGAGGGAGGGCTGGAGTCTGGACTAGGACATCTGACATGCATAGGAGAGGCTGTCAAGCTCAGATTCAAGCCCTGAAGTTCCTGTCTTCCCTGTGCTATGAAGCAATAATCTTGAAATTAAACTGCCCTTTTACCCCAGCAGTGTCATCCTATAGTGAACACAATTCTGAGAAGCACTGTGGCATCACAAGCTTGGGAAGCTGGAGAAGTGACTATTCTTGTTTTTGTAGTTGATTAAATGATCTTTCATTAACAGACGTTAAACGTAAGAATGTTCACCGCCACTTCCCTCTTCCTCCTCGGTTAATTTTCTTGCAGTGTAAGGAGGGCCTTATTTCAAAGGCAGGGTTAGGTAGGTGGAAGCTGCTCAAGCCATCCTGGCTGGCTGAAATGTCACTGGCTGAAATGTCACTGGCTGAAATGTCACTGGCTGACTTTTTTAATTGTATGCAAAAGGGTCATTATCTCCTGCATAATGTTTTGTTGCTCACATGCTTGAATGATGTAAGGACATGTGTCACCCATGTACTGGATGATTCTGATGCCCTCATAACTCCCTCGGCTATTCCAGGCTGAGGCAATTTTCAGGGCTAGACGAGGACCACAGCAGCATCTGCAGGAGGATATGGTAGTGGATCAGCACTGGAATAGGAAAGACAGCCCAAGAGACATACTGGATGTCTTTGCATGGAAGAGCAGATAAAAGAGCAAGAAGTAAAAACAAAACAAAACACAAAAAAAAGGAATCATAAAGCCATTTAAGTAGCACGGCAGCTTAAAAATTCACTCCCAGAAAGTCTCAGTGTTGTCCCTGAGGTCAAGTTATTGAGTGCCGTATCTTATTGAGGGGCTATCACAAGTGTCCAACATCACCTCACCTCTGGCAAAGCTCTTCACAAAACCTCTGCGTGCTGCCAAATACAGGCAGTGAAAACTGGCAGGATCTGCTCTTTCTGTCCTACATCAGGCTTTGCAATGGTGTCATCAGTGTGGACACCCAATGAAAAATGCTGTACCTTATCAGCTGCTGGGCTGACATCTGCTCGAATCTTGCCCAAATGTTTTTTTGGCCTGTAAATGATAAGAGTTAACCAGAATCAGAAAGACCGGTTTCATCAGGGTCAGAAAATAGTGCAAGACAGAATTCCTCGAGGTATTTTGTTGCCTCTACCTCCAGGCAAAACCCAAAGACAGCAGAGAAACGTGAAAGTTGAAAAAAACATTGACTGAACTTTTCAAACTTGGAAGGGTCAAGTATAGTTTGGTTCAAGTCTCAGGTGCAGGTTAAGTATGGGTCTTGATCTACTGGAGGAGGTTCATCCCTTGTTCAAACATAATATCATGGCCACTGGGCAGGAGAGACAGTAAGGAAATGGACTCAGTTTAAAACTTATTGATCATCTGATTGCAACAGGAAATATATGTGGTTTAGCAAATCTGTCACTCTCAGCAGTTTCAGTTCTGTAAAGAGCTGAGACATGAGTGGTTGAGCAGGGACATGAGTTACCTGCCCACAACCCTGTGACCAGGTAAAGCCCCCATGACTCCAGCTGTGCTCTGCATGGGCAGCCATGGGGCACACAGCCCTGCAAGGCCATGAGGCCAGCACAGCTTCAACCTCTCCCATGCAAGAAAGGCAGGAGTCTAAGCCCTAAGGTCTAAGGCTGCTGTGAGATTAGAGGTGTACTAGAAGGACTCCATAGTGACCCACCTGCCATGCCAACAAATCCTCAACTCAATCTTCTGTGCTGCCAACAGTTTTTTGTGCGACTTTGTGCAAGTTAGTCAGGTCTCATTATTTTAAGAAGTCATCAGGACACCATGGAGATAAAAAAGCAGAAAACTGAGGCTCTGTGATGCTGTGGAGATGAGGGAAAGATATCACATAAGTACAAATACACATTCACCTGTCTCAAGACAAGGTTAAGGACTCTGCTTATTCACGAACTTCTGAATTCAAATAAATGTCCCGTAACAGGAAAGCAAATGACACTTACAGGTAACCTGAGCTGCTGTTCAACTGGGTCTCTTGCAGAACACAAGCAGGTCTTCGGTGTTGGTTTCCCTCCATTCTTCACTCTCCCTCCCACTTGAAAGAGTTTGAATTGGCAAGAAAGAGTAAACAATGACACAGATAGTGTTTAACCATTAATAAGGGTGGACAATGGTTAGGGAAGTAGCTAAGGACCCTCGTTATAGCTAATCAGCTGTCTTCTTGTCTCTGTCTTATTGAGTTTGGGTTTTTTTTCTTTTTGCAAGCTGGCCCTGGTTAAAGTCTTTTCAGGAGTTAATGAGCTAGAGGAGAGTCATCTTCCCCACAGGCATGTTTCAAGCCTATGGTTTTTGAAGGTTTTCTTGGCCATTATGTGCACGAGCATGGCTGTGGTCAGGGTTGTAAATGCTGGCTCTCTGCTAAAGGGCTGCACAGCTTGGTACAACCGTGCCTCTTCTCTCAGCAGGGTCTCAAGGAAGAGCCTGCCTTAGATCTAGGCCAAAACAACCGGTGTTTGGGCAAAGGCACTGTCTGATCCTACACAACACCAGCTTCAGCTGTCAACAGAAAGATATCTCAGGGCTACTGTAAGGTACATCCAGCTGCCACAGCTGAACTCAGTTGAGGGCTGTTGGGGACACAGGCATGTTGTAGCCTTACCTCCAATCCTTTACCTTCACCTGGATCAGTCCCTCTGGGGAATAGGACTCAGAATACCCACAGCAGAGCAATGGCTGATCCTTTGGCTGCCTGGCCATGGCCGCACAGGCAGGAGGACAGCCAGCAAAACTGCTCACAGCAAAACCATCCCTGGGACTTCCCTCATTTCTCAAAGAAACTTGTTCAGAAGTATTCCAGGGTTTATACAGTAACACTCAGCACCAAAACCTGGACTTATTCTTCAGCCACCTGTTTAGGAACCTCAGCCTGTTAGTAAAAGAAAAATAAATAAGGTACTCTGAGGTGTTTTTGAATTGCATGAGAGTTGATAGTTGCTACATAACAACAAGAGAAGAGAGATTTTTGAATGAATTGATTTTTTTAAAAAAAAAAGGAAATTAAAAAAAAGTGCCACAATAGCTAACATTTGTCAAAGAGAAGGGATAGGGGGAGAGAGGCTGGCAACTCTTTTTGGGTTGGCACTAGAAATTAGCATTTTGGGGAGGGGTCAAATTTGTGGAGAGAGAAGTGACTTTAACCAGCTGGAGTCTACTGCCTCTCTGCCTCTTGAGTAACAAGCATGCAGCTTTGAAGACTGATAAAAACAAGTTTTCACTGAAGTCAGCACTCCCAAGCTCATGCAAAGATAAAAGAGGGAACTTCAGGCCAGTTTTTGCTTCTTCTACCAGCAAGGCCACCAGCTGAATCCTGACCTCAGCATGTTTTTGGTAGGTATAGTTTAAAAGCAGGAAGGACAAGCCTAGGAATATGAATGCACCAAGAGTCACCTGAATCCTTAGATATGAACTGAAGCTCATAATCAGCCATTTCAGAAATTCCAGCAGAGTTCAGAGCTCTGACATGGTCCATATAGTTTAGAAACTTAAACAAACATCTTGATTTCTGAATTGCATAGAAGACTGGAAGCAGCCTCACTTCCTGCTCAGATACCCATGTGAGACTTGTATTATTGCCAGGTAGAGAAAAAAAACTACCCTGATTTAACCTATAAGCAGTGTGCAACGTGGGAAAGGAAGGAGTCATTCAAAGGACACGTATCTGGGAGGTGAGGCAGTTTTGATGAGGTCCCCTGTATTGATTCTGATCTGCCACGAGGGATGTTTCAGGTACTGGCCAAAACGTTTTGCAATGAGAATTGATTTCCAAATTTTTGAAAATTTTGTTCCCAGCTTTTCTGTGAGCCACAAATCTACTCTTACGCTTGTCAGTGTTGCTGCACATGGTTGTTTCCCAGTGAAGTGACGGAACTTGTGAAGTTGTGCATAAAACGCAGAGAGTCTGATAGGAATAATCCCAAATTGGTCTCAGAAAGAAGAAGAGTAAGCAAGCCATACTACACTGATGGACTGGTAGTCTTGTTTTCTCAGAGCCTCACACAAAACACTTAAGATACCTGCAAAACTAGGAGAGAACACTCAGAGGATTTATTAATACAGAAAACAGTTTCAAGGTGTACTCCCTCACTACCACCCCAAAATATGATTGTATTTTAAAAACATCACTAGGGAGACAGTCTTTATGCCTTGTGTAAAATCTAGCATTTCCGAAGTGCATCTGAAAACATGTCTTTTTTTTTGTCTCACACAGGTCTCAGCCTGCTAATCAGCTGGATATTAAGATGAGAAGAGCTGTAGCTCTGATCCAGTTTGTGCATGCATTGCTACAAACCACAGCGTGAGGGCAAAGAGTCTTGATGCATGGTGAATAGCCAATAGACTAAGTGGGAAAGTGTTTCCCAATCATGTGGAAATTTCCAGAATATCAGAACTGGGTTTTTTTCTCTTTTCTGAATGGGGGCAGAGCCAGAACTTCGAAAATTTTATCAAAATTTTAGTTACTATGAATATATACAGAGAAGATCAGTGGCAACAAAACTTTTCAGTATTTGCCTTTCTCAACTTTTTTTACTCCATGTTCACTATATTCATAATACTGTTACTGAATCTAAAATATTTCTGTGCAGGATTCCCTGCTGAAACTACTGACAAGAGACAAGAGGTTATTTGCATCTGCTGATATTGAAACAATTTTTTTTTCCACAGATACTTTTGCTTTGGAGGAAGTGGTATTTTCAAGTTAAAAAACTGAAACTCTTTCTAAGGAAAACTCCTGACCACACTGAAGAATGAGATCAAACAAGAGCCCTGTATCTTGCACACTGAATTAGTCTGCTAAAGTTTGCTTCAACATACTCTCCTGGGCAGGAGTAGCTCAAATTGGCTGTAGAGGAGCCACTCACTGCATCTTATCACCATCCCTGTGACTTATCTCAGGGAACTGGGACCCATTTATCTGCCAGAGCAGAGAGGTTTTGTGCTGCAGAGGGGAAGGCACATGCAAAACAGAAGGCATATGCCAGCACCTTCAGATGTGGCTCTGTGTGCACCTAGCAGGGCTGTGCCACAGCTTTGCCATGCATTGGATCTGCCCCTCAGCAGACCTTCTGGCTTCCTGGCAAGTCTTTGCAGGTGCCTCCCTCTCTACACCAGTGTGCCCAGGGAGACTTCCACTTGCTCCCTCCATTGGCTGTCCTTTGAAACATGGAGAAGGAGCTGGGGAATGTGCTGAAATATGTCTTTCCCAAACCACAATGTTTGCTGCTGCTGTTTGGTCCTATCTGATTAAACACAAACAGCAAGACCTGCTCCACTTGCTTCCTCCCTCTGACAGGGGAATGAGCTCAGCACACCCTGGAGTCTCAGCCAAATCCCGCAGGGTAATATAATTGCATTCCTGCTCCATCTGCCTCAGTTACCCCACTTGGACATGTTATATCTCTGTGCTTCCTGTTGTGGCATCCTCGGCATTCCCCACCACACTCCCCACCCCGTTGCTCCTCCCTAGACTTCACTGTACAGGACTCACTGCTGGTGCACATGCAAGCTGTCAGAGGCAGTGGGATACATTCCTGGGGTAGACAGGTAAAAGCTTGTTCAGATCTATTAAACTCAGGACTTCTCAATCATGGTGTATCTGGGGACACAAGCATGTTTGATTCTTGCCTTGACACCATATTGAGAGAAGGAGACCATGGGGGAGTCTAGATTTAGTGTTGATTTTAGGGGATTGATGTGATCTACCAAGTAGGCAATTCCCTCCTCATGAAGTTTGCTACTGGAAGTTTAGTGAGTTTTAGAAAGAGCACAAAACTCATGAGTGCTGAAAGCTACCATAAAAACACCTCCTAATGAGCAAATTAACAGCACATTCCCAGACCTCATCAGCCAGGGTTCTGCATGAGACCCTAAATGATGGGAAAATCTATTTTAAGAATGTTTAGGGAACTTCTCAGGATGTGATAATTTTTTAATTTATTTTTTGGTGCACTGAATGTAATATTTGTGCACTGCTGCAAGTACAGCCTCTGTTCAGTACCCAGATGCAGACACACAGTGCACTGAAAGATGGTGAGTAGGGGTCTCTGGGGAAGTGTAAGAGATTAAACTCCCTGTGGAAGCATCCGCTTTCAGCCAATATCAGTGTTTTGCTTCATAGGTGAAAATATATTAAATACAAAAGGCTTGATTTTCCATGTCTAACTGATCTGTATTCTTGTCCATTTAAATATGTGGGTGAACGAGTGAGCAATTCATGAGTGGTTGGACTAAGAGGCAGGAAATTATGCAAATAAGGACACTGGACAGAGTAAAAAGAATACCATCAATTATATCATAGATATAATTGTGATATCATTGCCTGTCTTGCTGAAAATGTCACATAGATAAAATATATTATTACTTACCTGCAAACTGTCAAATGTTATTTTCCATTAGAATTTTCAAATGTCTTCAGATCTGTCTGCAAAATTTTATCAGTTGTTGGCTTTTTTCTTGTGTGGTTGCATCTGGTCCTGGGGCTGCATCCTGCAGGCAGGGCTGAGTTTGTGGATGAGTAGCTTGTCTCCTTATCCCCTCTCATCCCCACAGAGGACTCTGGCCCTGTTTTTGTGCTGCACAGATGCTGGGAGGTGTAGTGACAATGCCTTAGCCTGGAAACCAGCGGGACTATGCTGTGTTGCAGCCACAGTGATACTTCTTGGACTGTCTTCCATCATGAAAAATCTAGAAAATGGATATAAAAAGGGGAGAAACAGTCGCATGAAGTGGATAGAGAAGGTATGGCTTAAACAAAGAAGGTTCAGCCCTAGATACCATGGACATCTCTGAAGGTAGAAGGGGATAGACGCATGAAAATCACCATAAATACTGGGCAGAAAGAAGGGAGACTCCATTGTTTGGCTTCTCTTCCCGCTCATCCTGCTCTCGTTTGTACAGTCCCCATAATGACACACCTATCTTGGCCTGCTGGACTTTAGACTCAGGGGGTGTGTGTGTTTTGGGCACTGGCTTCAGAGCCCAAAATTAGAAAGAGGATGAAAAGAAACCATTCTTCCAACACAGCTTAGCTGGAATGAAAGCATTTCTGCTACCC